ATTGGTGCTCTGTATTGATGTAGTAGTTATGATGATTTATAACTCAGTCTTCCGCTACCTCATTACAGTCTGGGGTGTTTTAAAAAAATACAAACTCTTCAAAATAAAGTGATAAAAATTTTATTTGGATACAACTATAATAAAACACATACAAAAATAATATACACTGAAACAGGAATTTTGCCATCAGATCAAATACTACAAATAGAGTGAAGCAAGTAAAGCAAGTATACTTATACATAGTAGTATACAAAGAAAAACAACAGAAAAGTAACACCAATATTCAGTTAGTAAGCGAAACGCACAAATACAAAACTATAAATCAAAATCAATTTTATTAACACTTAGTCAGTCCAATGTGAGCACAAAGGGTTGGAAGAAATTCGTTATTAGCTTAATAGCATACATGTCGATTTTATTATTTAGTTACGTATCTTTTGGTTCACTCATATTTTTCATGACACCATCATTGTTCGAGTCATGACGTCATTATAATTATTTTGTAATACTATGGCAATACCTTACTTTGATAATATACAGTGAGGACGTAAAAAGTCCTCCCCCCCCTTTAACCTTTGAACGGCTAGCGAGGTCGGGTAAAATTCAAGCAAAAAGGTACCTCTCACTATAAGTGGGCACCATCAACTTTTTTTTTTCGAATATCAAGAGGAGTCACGTAGTACCTTATTTTGAAGGCCTTTCGATTTTCTATCCAACCCCACTTTGTTTGTGCAAATCGGTCAAGCCGTTTCAAAATAACAAGCGTTTGAAATGTACCTCGGAAACAGTAAATCACGTTCGGATTGAATTCCAAAACCGATTTTTTCGTGTCAATAAGTGAACGATGACCATTTCGAGCATGTTTGAGCACTTGTAACAATTCCTACTTGAAATTCTGTTGCAATTAAAAGTTATTTAGGTTTTTCATTCATTAATATTAATACTTGAAGCAAATTTCAAACGCTTTGCATTTTGATACGGCTTGGCCGATTTGTACAAACGAATCGGTGTCGGATAGAGAATCGAATGGCCTTCAAAACAAGGTACCACGTGACCACTCTTTATATTTGGAAAAAAAGTTGATGGTGCCCATTTGACACTAGGTCACGTGACCACAACCATTTTCATGTCGAATACCTAGTAGTAGGTAAAAGAGGTATCTTTTGGCCTGAATTCTGCCCGACCTCGCTAGCTTGTATCGTTCAAAGGTTAAAGTGGGGGAGGGGGGAGGACTTTTTACGTCCTCACTGTACATATAGGTACCTTCAAAAAGTACGCATTTTTCTGTGTATGAACGTCATATTTTTCTTTATTTTTTCCTATGTTTCAAAACCGTATTTTCGAGAAATAAAAGAGATACATTTATAATAATGTAATTTATAATGATTAGATATTATATGAGAAGACCAACAAATGCGCTTCTGAAAAAGACAATCGATGTGTCTGAGCTTTTAATGAATTTGTTACAACCTTTTCGTGTTCACTATATAAATGCTTGGAAACTTTCAATACACTACAAGATTGTATTAAAAACCAAGATAGCTATTCCTCTTTTAAAGCATCCTTTATGTAAATCAGCGAAATATTTAATGTGTAATAGTGTTTAAATGTTTAAAAGAAACTATATGTTACTTTTTATTGTAATTATTTATTTGAGTGGTCGAAATGGTCTGGTTCTCTTGTAGCTGAGTTACTATTTTACCATATAATATTATGTAGGTATACTTGCAAATTAGAAATTTACGAAAACACATGTTGTTACTATACGTTAGTTCTCACATTTCATCACAAACAACCATCAACATGTAAATGTTCTTACCGAATACCACTTGAGCTTCAATTGATATCCGAGAATTTTTTCTCGAACACAAAAATTTCGAAAATTCTAGAATTTTCAAAATATTCGTGTTTTTAAAAAAAATTCCGGAAATAATTGCTCTCGTGATATTATAAGTGAAAATCCGTTATCCGCATGTTGCTGATTTGGAATTAAATAAGTTTAAAAAACAATCACTCACATTTCAGGACCTATGTCCTTGTGAATAATAAGTATACATATAATATACAGGGTATTTCGTAATATGTGGGACGCACTTCCAGAGGTGATACGGCGTCTCAAGAAAATGAAAAAGTTTCCATAAAGAAAAGTTGTAGATGGCTTCGTTCGCGAGATACAGGGTGTTATAGTTGAAATTGAAAATTAATTTTCATTGAATTTCTTGATGACCGCTTAACAAAAAATCTCGATATTCTGGTGCATAACTACTTAGTACCTTAGAGTGATTGAATGGGTAGCAGTATTTAGTCAATTTGACTCCAAGTGGCACCGTTAAGGGGTACTGAATACTGATGTGTGATTTTTAAGAAAAAAACGTGGGTGGCGATGAAACTTCTTACATTTTATACGAAATTATTAAAGAGGATGCAATTTCTAGTGTTGAAACTCGTAAAGATACACTGTTTTTGAAAAAAAAACGAGTATCCAACTTCAACTTCAATAAAATTTGATGTTGATGTACGAGGATGTCGGATAGTCCATTCAAGACATCTGTTCAGATTACTCTATAACCATGATAGATACTATTCTGTAATTGTGGCACTGTGCCAGTCACATAACAGATTTAATTTTGCCACCACGATAAGCCATACAGGGTGGACATGGAAGAATTTATAAAAAATTTCAACTTCAACACCTTGTATCTCGCAAACGAATCCTTCTACGTCTTTTGTATATGGGAACTTTTTTATTTTCTCGAGACGCCCTCTCGAAGTGCATCCCACCTTTACGAAACACCCTGTATAATCTGAATTGTATGGAAGCTATAATTTTTTATGAAAACGTGGAATGTATTTTCAGATCAAATGAATAGATAAATAAAGAACACGGTGCTTCAAAGCAGAGTTGCCAATTTAATAAAAAATCATGATCTTTTTGATTTATACTGATTTTTTAATCATACTGATTTTTTCCTTAAATATGGAAATAGTGAAGAAGATTTAATTCATGCCAGGCGCGGCATAAGGGGAATCTTGTGTTTTTCTGTTGGTAAAACAAAGTCCAAATGCGTATTGAATTAGCTTTTATTATAGGACAAGCTGAATTTCTTTTTTCAAAGTTGGTAATGGTAACGTCAAACTGTCATGCACAATCATTTTTCAACCATCTGTCAAATTAGAAAATGAACATCCAAATGTTGTTGTTGATTTTTTCATTGATGAAATGTGTTTGATAAAAGAGGACCAATAAATGCAAAATAGAAAAAATAGGTATTTATTATACAAGGAAGAAAAGTATTAGATAGCGGAGGGATACAAAAAAAACCGAGAGCTGAAATTCCATATTTGTGTATATGATACACTTTGTATAATACACTTTTTTTTCTGTGACAGGACAAACGATGATTCAATATTGAGATGATATTACATGTGTCCTAACTTGCTCCGTCTTTGATATACAGGATGTTGAAGTTGGAAATATTGATTGTTTTTATTTCTAACCCTCCTATACAAGCTTTCATGGTGCCAAAATTCAGTATGGTTGGAGACTAAGAATGCCCCAAAATTTCAAAATGATTGTAATCGGGGTTATTGAGTAATCTCAATCGAAGTCTTGAAAACACCTACATTGAATTTGGAGTCAAATCGAATTTTTATTGTTTCCTCAAAAACTAAGCTAGATACAAAAATGACATAGACGATAAAAAAGTTGTTATTTAAATAGTTCATTCTGATAAAATATGAAACTCAGAAAAACTGGTTGCGTATACAATGACATTCACCATAAATATCGATAAATCTACCCCACTGTGACGCCACTGGAAATATTATTTCGAATGTAATTATACCAGAAAAAGTTCCATATTACTATTAACAAAACCACAGCGTTTCATTGAAATTGATGAAAAGACAATTGAGTAATGAATAAAAAACCGATTTTCCATGGAAATATTAATACCCTGTATCTCGAATACGAATCAAGTTAGGAGTGTTAGGACACATGTTCATATGAACTTTATTTCCAAAATATCGGTGTTATTTAGATAAACCCTGTATATGCGGGAAAAAAGTACTCACTCTTTTCCCGTGGGAAAATAGTTATTTATGAAAAGTGACATTTTGTAACCTATGAACAGAGATAAAATGTCAAACTCTTTTCCTGTCACAGAAAAATAGTATATTACACATGTTTTATAGGGCATATTGTCGCACAAGTTATTTTGTATAATAATAATCCTGCTTTAAAGATCTTCGTTTTCTCGTATTTCCTGATGAGTCATCTGCTTCGGCGACATATTTTTACAGCAAATTATAATTCGAATTGAATCACGATAAAGATTTCAGAAATCAGTTGATTTAAATCCTGCCTTAAAGAAAGAAAAGGTACCAAATTTGAAAAAAATCGTGAAGATGAGAAATAGTTTCCTCAGCCTCAGTAATGTATTGAACTCACTAAGCTAGCTGTGTTTATTCACTTTTATGTCTTGTATTTGAGTGTTGAGATGTTTTTTTCACCACTAGCTATAGAACCATTATTTATTCTTTTTCAAGGTAATTTTCGTCATTTCATGAACTACTATCATTAGTCAATAAAGACATAGCCACCTCTCTTATGATTCCAGAATTCACTGTTTTGATGCGACATTCGTAAGAATGACACTCGAATCTAGTAGGTATTTATCAATCAATAGAGACTTGTCATAATATGCTGTCATTATCATGGCTACTAGATTTTAATGGGCATCGAAAAGAAGCGCTGTCATAGTGACAATAGGTCCATTTTTCAGTTTCACAGAACTATAATGACTGAAATATATTGCTAGTGGTGAAAAAAATTAAAATAAACACCTTGGTAACGAATTTTATCATTACCACGGGATATAATCTTGGTCCCTGGGTAATAATAATATTCTTTACTATCTTGATGCATGAATAACTATTATATAACATTAATAATCGTTAAGATAATTTGTAGAGTTGCATCTTAAATTCTTGTTACTGACCTAATCCATGTACTGCACTTTTGGCATCATTCTTTATTCCTTTTGCTGCTTCGGTTGCCGCTTCGACGCCTTCATCGGCTGCCTCCTGAATTTTATCTCCAGTTTCTTCTGCTTCTTTTGCGACATCTTTCTTCTTCCTGCTGAACAGCTCACTTACTCTGGTCCCAAAACCTCTTATAGAGCCTGGAATAAAAGGTTGAGGTTAGTTTTTTTTGGAGGGGCATCCCTATCCCTACTAATTTCCTACTTTCCCTACTAATCTATACTAATATTAGGAAAGATCTGATTGTTTTTTTGTTTGTTTGCATGTATTGAATAGGCTCCGATAGGGTTTCACGAGACTCGGAATTCGAGATTTCTCGTCTCGTCTCGATTTCGAGACGAGATCGAGACGAGACCACTAATTTTTTTTCGAGACGAGATCGAGAAAAACACTTCGAGATTTTTCGAGATCGAGAAATTATTTCGAGATTTCTCGATCTCGAAAAAAATTATGCGCTTCAATAACTCACAGGTCCAAGTACAGTTGTATTCAATAAAAAGGCGTACATGTATTAAAAAGAGAGGTCAACGTCATCCTAGTTCTAGTTGTGTAAAACTGGCTCAGCCAATGCTTTGTAGTTTTGACAACCTATGACAAATGTCAACATATGGTGAAAAATCATTCTCGATAGCCCGTTTTACGCAAATAGGATGACGTTAGCTTCTCTTTCTAATACTTGTACGCTATTTTTTTGAATACAACTGTACGCCAGAAAAAAGACAATGAAAAACTAAACTAAGAAGTAATTTCATAATTCATACAATAATTTGCGTTATATCGGGTTATTCAAGAGACGACCGTATCAATAATAAAAAATGAGTTTGTTGCAGGTGCTGTTCACGAACGAAGAAACACTTTCAAACATTCACTTTTTGTACCTAGGTAAATTTTAAATGTACCTATATGGATAAAAGATTGAAATCAAACATCAAGAATTCGTTCAATTTTAATTTTTTTTTAATAATATTCTTTTGTTCTGGATGTATGACAAATTGATATTCATCATACAGGGCGTGGAAAGAAATTCTGAATTGATGAAATAACAAGTTTCCTTCGTACAAGTTTGAATCCCTCGATTTGGATGAAGAAAGTATTGAAAAAGAATATTCTCAGATGTATAATGAACTTTGAAAAACTTGATACAAATGCAAATTCTCAAAAATTTTTTTCATGCAATATATCTGAGAATATTCCTTTTCAATACAATATTTTTCCTTTTTTGCTGATGCTCGGCGGTTTGTTTGTTATACGTGGCTTTGAGTCCATGTATTAAATAATTCTTTTATAGAATTAATAACCTGTATTTTGATTCAGCTCTAGCCTTGGCCTGTACATAGCATTTTTTAATAACATTCAGTTTTTTTTTTTCGAGACTCGAAATTTCGAGAGTTTCGAATCGAGATCGAGAAATTGTCTTCGAGAAAAACATCGAGACGAGAGTTTGTTCATTTCTCGTCTCGATGAAACCCTAGGCTCCGAAACTGGATCGATTTGGCTGAAAATTGGTGAGGAGGTAGCTTAGAACCAGAAGAGGGTTATATAGGATACTTTTTATCCCGGTACCATTAGGATATCCAAGATGGCGGATCTAATATGTCGGACGAGTTTTGTATTCTATTCAAAATCTAGAGACAAGGCGCAACACAAATGGTCTACCGTGCCATAAGGATGCGATGCAACAAATAATCCGAGTGGTGAGGATTATCCTTTCTCTATAAATCTGTTTTGTACATTAACTCGCAGGAAACATAATGGCCAATGGCTTGAGTCGAGGCTTGAGCCAAAGGTCCCAGGATTGAATCCCGTTCTCAACCGACTTTTTTTCTCTTTTGTCGAAGTGATTAATTGAAAATAATACATTTTACCTTTTTTTGTATTAGATTATTTCAACAAAGCGTGTTTTCAGTTTTTGAAACTTTATAATAATATTTCACTACTGAATCAATGTTATTGATGATATTTGGAATGTAATGATCTTCAATAGTTATCTATATGTATATATCAATTGATTAAAAACCGTTATAACGAAAATTATTGTAGGCACAAATCAGTGACGGCTCGTGCCCTCAGAACCTGGGTCGGCCAGGGTATAGATATTGCTCTAAAATGCGAACGTAAGTGGGTCAGCGGCTTGAGTGAAGTTCGATGGCAAATAAACATGTACAGGGTGATTCACCATAATTGTCCTTTCTCCCTCTAGCTCACTTATTTTTGAACCGATTTAAAAATTTGAAGGATGATCTAAAATGATTTCTCAGAATTTTTTTTCCCGTTGCATCAGGAACAAATGATCTACAGGGTACTACTCGATTTTTCCAAATCGAACACCCTGTATTTCATTGTATTTTTAGATTCTTCCTGAAGAGCTGATTTCATCAATGCATCACACTTGGGGTCTAGCGGGAATGATAACAGAGATATAGGGTGTTCAAAATCGAGATTTTTCAAGTTTAGGATTTTTTTGTCTCGAAACTATTCATTATTGGTCGAAACGGCTCCTATGTTTCCATCTTAATTTTTGATTAACTGTCTATTGAGATTTGATTGGAACATTTACAGGGTGGTTCAAGATTCAGAATTCTGATCACCCTGTATCTGTTCCAATTATTAAATGTCAGTAGATAGTAAATCAAAAGTTGAGATATGGACATGAAAGCCGTTTTGACCGATGATGAATAGTTTCGTCTCAAAAAAATCCTAAAGTTGAAAAATCTCGATTTTGAACACCCTATATCTCTGTAATCATTCCCGATAGACCCCAAGTGTGATACATTGAGCAAATCAGCTTTTCAGGGAGAATCTAAAAATACAATGAAAAATAGGGTGTTCCATATAAAAAAATCAAATGGTACCCTGTAGATCGTTTGTTCTGAGCACCCTGTATTTTCTGATGTAGCGGAAAAAAACTCAATCAAAAATCATTCAAGATGATATTTCAAATTTTGAAATCGGTTTAAAAATAATTGAGCTAGAGGGGGGGACATTTATGGTGAATCACCCTGTACCTACACATAACCAAAAAATTAAATTGTCCAGCAAGAACCACGAGGTTAGAGCATTCTCGCCAGGGGAAATGGGGAAAGAAAAAGGAGGTGGATAAGGGTTAGTTGGTATGAAAAAATAATAACAAGAAAGTCGAAAAAATAAAATGAAAGAAAATAAAAATAAAATAACTCGTGAACAAAAAATATTTATATTCTGTTGAAAACGTAATGTAAACTCAAAAAAATCAACATAACCGACAACCACTCACCTAACGCGAGAAGCACAACAATGACTAATCGGTCTACGCCGTTCCTGTAACAAGCCACCCCACTGACCCCACTCCTTCGTAGTCGGCTGGCCGAGCCCGCGTGCAGGGTGCAGCCGTAGGTATAATGTTTCCCGCGATGCGATGGATGCATAAATATTATTTAGGTACTTTATAACCGCTACATGCGTCTTTGAAAATAAATGATATTCTGGAAGTTATACATTTATTACATTTTCGTCACCAGAGCTTTTTTACGATGTTTCAATGCCTACTCAGCTCTTGGACTGCTGACATTTTTCTTGCCATATTACCTACATAGGCACTATAGGCAGAGGCACAGTAGGTTACATTACAGCATATTACAGCAATATTCAAATTGAATTATAACTTATTGACGCTCAGAAGCACTGAAGGAAAATTCTGATACCAATATTAGATGGATATGTTGAATTATGAATTACTGAAAAATTGCGAATTCAAAAATCACCAGTCATTTTTACTGCAACTACTGCAAGCGTAAACAAAAACATGGAAATTATTTTTCTTTTCAGTTTGTACATTTCAAATTCCAACATCAACTTACAAATAAGTATAGGAATTAAAATTATAAATACCTACAATGTAAAATGAAAATAGAATGTCAATCATGCCATTCCGTATATTAAAAATTAGGTCGGAATGGTTCGATACGGTGCACAGCGAGCGCACTGCAAACAACTGATACTGATAAGTACGATCGATACGTTGGACGGCCAGCGGAGCTTGGCCGCACCCAAGGTATGACGCGTATAAGCGAAAATTTAAACTTGAAGCGGGGAATCTGTAGGCGATGCCTGTGGCGATGCGTCGAGACATGAAATCACCGATCGGCCGGCCGTCTGCATCAGTGTGTAATGAGCTAAGCGAGCGTTTCGACTGAAAGCGGCGTTTTGACGATGGGATTACCAGAGTTTTATTTGCTTTATTCGGGTTCGAACAATTACTGTTCTAGAACTGCCAGGAGTTTGCGCAGTTGAATCGGTCGCGTTCGGGTTTTGTGGAACTGTTCTAGGACTGACTCTTTACGCGTTCGGGTTCTTTCAGAATCGTCCTGGGACGGTCCTAGAACTATTCGAAACCAGTACCTGCTCTCGAGCGTGAACCGTTCTGGGATCATTTTTGGCGCATGCTCATTTCATTTAGATCTCGATTCTGTCTGTTGTATTGTAATTTCATAATGATATATTTTTGCTTATTCTACTGTTTATTGCTCTTTTGAATATTTTCTCAATAATTTGTTAGATAATCCGAAGAATGGAGGATTATGATGGGGATACCTTGCCATTATATGAGATACACAATTCATTGAATATTTCAGGTGGTTGTCGAAATGCATGTAGGTACAAGGGACAAAACATATTGAAAATCTGGCTACGAATGCTATGGTGGAATATAATCACTATTCCTCAACAGAGGGTTGCCAGAGATATTGTGAATAGACTCAAACGAGAGTTTGAAGCTTCAGAATATTATTTGAATAAAGATATAGGTTCCAAACTATTGTTTTTTTCGCAAATTCTGAATAGAGGTTATGTTCCCTGAGGTTCTCTTCTGCTGCGTTCGGGTTTTCATAATTTGTGAGCCGTTCTGAAACAGTCCTAGGATTCGAAACGACTACGCACTAGTTCTACGCAGTTCGAGAACGATTCTTGAACAGTTCTGAAATCGGAACCCGAGATGTCGTAGGTCCTGAATTAGTTCGTGATTTTCGGTGTATATGCGGATGGCATACTCAAAGGTTCCATGAATGAAATTCAAATAATAGTGGCATAACAGTAGGATAATGAGCGATGAATTATGAAAACAGTTTCGGAAAATAATTTTATTCATCAAATAGTTCAGTAATTT